TATAACAGCATTCTAACGAATGGGAAGATACCAAAAGATTTATCAACTTCAATAATTATTCTACTTGTTAAGTCATATAAAAAATCTCTTAATAATCCAGATAATTACCGTGGAATTAGTATTTTAACTATCCTTGCCAAGATTTTAGAGTATCTAATTTTACTTATATGTCCTAGTATTAAAGATAGCCATTCCCATCAGTTTGGTTTAAAAAAAAATAGCTCTACGCTCGACGCAGAATTTTTATTGAGCGAACACATTAAACACTATAATAACAATAACACGCTTTTATATATGTGTAGATGCAAAGTCGATCCCCACCACGTCCCTGGTAGTACCGCGCTCAACTTGTTTCTCCACGCAGCGGCCTTGTTCATCAAGGTTCGTGTTTCGGAGTTATAGAGTTGAGAGAGGGTTATAACCACAATAAAGTCTGTAGTGGCCTTCTCGGCCTTGGGGAGGTGAAATAACAAAAAAAAAAAAAAAGGAATAAAAAAAAAATAAAGCGTTTGATACTTGCAACTGGGATTTGCTATTTGAGAAGCTCTATTTCCATAAAAAAAACTTCCTTTATCTGTCGTTCCTTTATCACATCGCTATATCGTTCTGGTACGGCAAATATATTCTATTAGGGAGTTATCTCAGATCAATTCAGTTTGTCACAAGAGGTGTAACAAAGGTCTATTTATATAGCATCTATACTGAAAACAATGTCGCCATATTTATATAGCATCTATACTGAAAACATCTTAAATGAAAAAGTCTCAGAATGTAAAGTAGGGTCAACGATAAATGGCATCTATACTGGTGTCATTGCATTCGCAGATGATGTAATTTTGCTCAACAAGTCCAACAATCTCTGGTCTGCAAGAACTGATTGACAGATTTCAAACATATGGAATATTAAACTCTATCAAGCTAAACACTAAGAAAACGGAATTTCTGGTCTCTGGTAAAAGTTCTATTTCCAACAACATTATTCAAATTAACGGAACTTATATACATCTCCAAAATAAATTAAAACATCTGGGTTTCCAATAGGATAACAATAACAACAAAAACAAAATCAAAACACTTCAAAAAACAAACCTAAATGAACGTATAACGCAGTTTCAATCGGTTGCAATAGCTCTAATTGACAGCGGAGTTCGTTTTTGTCAGCCGTCAACAATAGTCCATTTATTCAATACCTTGACAGTTCCAAAACTTATAAATGGCCTTGAGCTATGCAACTATGATATTAGTTTTCTAAGAAACATAGACGCTGTTGGAAGAGCAGTTTAAAAATTATTTTTTTGTATTTCAAAGTATAGCAAAATTTACCTACATTCTTTTTTTAAAATAGAAGATATTTCAACTGCACTTCTTCGAAATAAATGTAAAACCTATTAAGTAGGTTAATGAAAAATCAAACTTGTTATTCGCTGATAATTAGTCAATTACTGGCAACACAAAATAAAAAATCATCTATAAACGAAGTGATTGTTATATGTAAAACTCGTGGCTTGAACATCTTTTAATGCATGATAGAAGGTAAAAAAACTAAATTCACACTACCTCAAGAAGATCTGCAAGCTGATACTATATCAATATTAAAAGAAGCGTTCCAATTATGGAACTTAAAAGAACAAAGAGAAAAATTTAAAACAATGATGGAGGAGAATATTCCTAAAATAGATCTAACCGTCTAGTCGGTCTAGTTATTGGCATTAAAAACAAATATTTGGAGAGTCAAGACTGACTTTAATTTAATTTGTAACTGTTTTAATATAAATTAGTTTACCTGTATTTTTATTACTGGGTGTTTAAGAGAAAATAATAATAATTATTATTGTTACATTTTTTGTTTATATTTTTAATTTTTTTAAATCTTAATTTGCTAAATTATATTTAGCAATCATTTTCTGGATTATATAAAAATAATATTTAGCAATCATTTTCTGGATTATATAAAAATAATATTTAGCAATCATTTTCTGGATTATATAAAAATAATATTTAGCAATCATTTTCTGGATTATATAAAAATAATATTTAGCAATCATTTTCTGGATTATATAAAAATAATATTTAGCAATCATTTTCTGGATTATATTTCAAAAACCTTTCAAAAACTCTACTTGTACTATTATTCCCATCATCAAAATTAATTTTAAACATTATTTCCCAATAATAGGAATTGTCCATAAATTAAGCAACACAATATATATTAAAAAAAACAGAAGTAGGAGTTATTAGGCTCTTTTACGCAGCAATTTTCATTAAACTTGATGGGCTGTTTTAATTTTTTTGTTTAAATTAAGACTCTACGAGGGAAAACTTTTAATCTTTTTAGTTTTGTTTATTGTGAAAGTTTGCGTAACGTAATTTATGGACTATCCCTAAACATTTTTTACAAAATGTTTTTAAACTAATGACTCATAACTATTTTGCGTTGATCCATAAAAACATTTGAAAAGTAAATCTTCTGACACATAAAACCATTAAACACTGGGTTCAAAAAAGTTTTTATTGCAGGTCGACTTGGTTATTCTATATGGTTCTTTATGGTTTATTTTAGAGATCTTTGTCTAGTTATTATTTCTTCTAACTTTGGTGTTTTAAAAATGATGCAGTTATTTGTAAGCTAAGACTGATTATTATTACTTACTGCTGAAACAGGATGAATATATATTCTGAGATTACTTTTTTATGCTAAAGACTTGTAATTAGGTCTAAGTTAATGTTAAGAAATCAAAGTTTTATATACATAAACATTTATTTGATATTTTTTTTATAATGCACTAATAATGCACTATAATATACACTAAAAATCGATATGGACGTAAACTATTTACGATAGGGACATAAACTAGAAACTCTGACATATATCAGAGTTCCACCTATTCAAATCAATTCAAATCACGTCTGAAAATATTTATTTATCCTAATAACAGCCGGAAAGTAATTTTATGTGACTATCTGAAAGCTTTTCTTAAGTTTGTCATTAATAACTAAACATTTTTTGTAAAAAAAAATTTCCAAAAATCTTTTATTTTCAAAGTTACGATTATCATGTCTTTATCAGTTATAAAACCATTATCAGATTTTTTTTCCAGACATACTTTCTGACATTTCTGGCAATTAGTTATTGCTATGCATGTTTCTTAGTGGATAAGTAGTGATAACAAGGTTGCATGGCAAGCACATGGGTGTGGAACGGTTATTAAAAGAAATCAACAATTTCTTTTAATTTTGTTCCAAAACTTAAAATTTTTTTGTAAGGGATAGTCTATTAATTACACAAATCAGAGTTTATTTTAAAAATTGAAGTAGGATATCATTTGTATTTTGCGCTGCGATTTTCATTTAGGCTGTATTAATTACTGAAGCGCGGGATTATTAGGACACCATTCAGTGTTCAATTTGTTTTTTTTTGAAAAGTAACCCCGCGCTTGCGAATTAGATTATTCTTAACAAACAAGTTTTAACTAATCAAATTCACTTGTTAAAAAATGTTTCAAAAGAAATATATAAAGCAACTTATTTATTTATACCATTAGCTACTTTATATAATATAATATAATATCTATCTATCTATCTATCTATCTATCTATCTATATATATATATATATTATATATATATATATATATATATATACATATATATATGTATATATATATATATATATATATATATATATATATATATATATATATATATATATATATATATATATATATATATATATATATATATATATATATATATATATATATATATATGTATATATATATATATGTATATATATATATGTATATATATATATATATACAGTAGCGTGTTTAGAAAATGGGTGGATGGGGGCTAAATGCCACCCAGTGCTTTAATTGAGGGGGGAGGGGCTATTGCCAACTCTGCCCCCTGCTCCTACGCTAGTATATATATATATATATATATATATATATATATATATATATATATATATATATATATTATATATATATATATATATATATATATATATATATATATATATATATACAGTGGCGTGTTTAGAAAATGGGTGGGTGGGGGCTAAATGCCACCTAGTACTTTAATTGAGGGGGGGGGGGAAGGGGCTATTGCCAACTCTGCCCCTCTGCTCCTACGCTAGTATATATATATATATATATATATATATATATATATATATATATATATATATATATATATATATATATATATATATATATATATATATATATATATATATATATATATATATATATATATATATATATATATATATATATATAAGAATCACCCTGAACATTAAACCTTGTTCTTTACAAAACGTGAAGTGTTAAATATAATTTTGCAACAAGACTTGACAACAAAAAAGCCTCAAAAACAATTTTTTATTGCATTACGACGCTTGATATAAAGGTGAACTTTACCTTTAACCAACTTCATATCAACAGTAAAAGTAAAGAAATATTTCTAAAGAGATTTTTTTTTAATTAATAAAAATTCAAATAAAAAACAAAGTTATAAGTTTTGCTTTAAATATTTTTTGTTATTTACAAAAAAACGATCAACACATATCAAAATTTAAAAAGAAAATAGGTTTTAATATTTTTTTCTAATTCTTATGCAACTCGATTAATCATTTGAAGGCTCATTTAAATTACAAAGAAGATAATGTAATTAGGAACCGTCTGAGTTTTGAAGCGGAAGTTATATTAACTTTCATTGATGTATCCCGGTGGGTTACATTAATTTTATTGCAACTGTTTTTTTTTTTTACGATTTTATTTAAGTACCCCGAAAGAGCTTTTAACGAGAAAGTTCACGTCGACTTTCTTACCGATGTCGCGGAGAAGGCATCAAAACTTGAACTTCTTGATTCTGAAATCGTTGCTTTACCCCTGTGCCACGGATGCTTTTAAAAAAATAAATGGATAATCTGGGACTCAATTGCATTCTAAACGGAGACAAAATATCTCCACATTTAGTTGTATTAACAGAGTAGACAGAATTTCTATACAATATTATTTAAAAAAGAAAAATTACTAATACAAAACGAAAAAAAAAGACACTATTTAAATAATAGTGAATCGCTTGCGAACGCATAACAACAGATTTCTGCATAAAAATCCATTTCTCCAACAAGAAACATTTTTCCGTTTGTAGATCAGAGGTCTTTCTTCTGACATAGACAAAGTGTGAATTCTCTTTATAGCGTTACTCAAACAAAAATTAAAAACCTCCGCTACATTTATGTTATTTTTAGCTGACGTCACGATATGTTTTGCACATAGTATTTTTTTAACAGAATCGTGCGATGATGATTTCAAAAAGTCGTTAGATGAAACTGGTAACGAGCCTTTGTATAAGTCTGTTTTAGTTCCAACTACTACCAGAGGCATTTTATCTTCTCGTATTTCTCGTAATTGTGAATATAGTTCTATTAATTTTTGGGCCGATTCCACTGATTCGTATTCATACGTAAGAATGATACCATCAGCTGTTTTTATATGTTTTTTTGAATCTTCAGTTTTTGTTTCGGCGAGAACAGCCATTTGGATATTTAGTTGATATCCTTTATATGACTTTTTGTGCTTATAGATATTATTTTCAGTGTTGTCTTTATTGTCAAAAGGAAGTCCGATAAATCGGTTTATAAGTGCTTTTTTACCACTACCCTTCGAACCAACAATTACAAACTTTCGTATCTTTCTTTTCCGATTAACTTCGTGTTTTCGTCTCTCTTCGTTAAGCATGTGCATTTTTTTTTAAATATTTATCTAAATAGAGATAATGATTATTAAACAAAAAAAACTAAAATATATTTTTTTGTTATTTAAATAAAATTTCCAGTAATACGTCCAACAACAAAAAATTGCGTTGCAACATTTATCTTGCTTGCAACAAAAACATTCATCTCATTATTAAAAAATAGCAGCCAATTGGTTAGTTACACACACACAAAAAAGCAATCTTGTTGACATTTAAAACTCATTTGTCATTTCTATATTAACTTTGAAAATATCTTTTCATATGCCTCTGAAATATGTATCAATTTTTCTGTAGATTTATCAGATTCGGAGCGTGGAAACTAGTGAATGGAAATCCGGTAAACATGACATTTCCTTGGTTTGCGATATGTTTTAAGATTTCATTTACTCAACTTTTGTTGCGCAGTAACGTTAAAGGAAGTAATTTCATTTCATTTCATAATTATTTAAAAAAAGGATATTGTGAACATGATTTCTCTAATCATTGCTTACTATTAGAAAACAAAAGTAAACTCGTTTTCAATATTCAATAATTGTGAGCAAGATTTAATAATTATTAATCAAAGAGCTCGAGTTAAGGTTTTCCAAATAGCACAATCAGTCAAGTAGAGGACTCTTCACTCTTATTGTGGAGCAAATACAAGCGTTTATATTCAAAAACAAAACTTTTACGTCATTTGATCGCTTTGTAATTACGTCATCAACTACTTGACAATGGAGTAGTCATTCATTGAATTAAAAACAAAGAAAATTTTCACAAATCTATTTTTAAACACTCTTTTAGAACGATTAGACGAATCAACAAAGTTCAAATATATATAAACAACTTTTAAAATTCAAATGTTTCTTCAATACTATATTGAACAATTTTTTGTAAAACAAAATTCAAATTCTGACTAATCTTAAGGTATATTTTAAACAAATTTGAAACAATATAAACAGGTTTTAATTTTTTTTTAAGACGGTTTAAGCGGCTTTTTATAGCAATTATAGAAAAAAAAAATCATTGTTAAAAAAACGCCCTAACAACAATATTCTTTTATAAAGTTCATATTTTTAACAAAAAAATGTTTTAACGATCTATTTAAATAAACGGTTGAAGTACTTCCACTTTAATATTGTTTAAAGTGCGAAAATATCTCAATCCCGACGCGTTTTAAACCTTTTACTCAAATCCTTATGCAAATTTAACAAAACCGAAATTTCCTTTACAAAATAGTTAATTAAATATATATGAGTTATATCAAATGAGCCTTTTTTTTTTTTTAAGTTTCTATGAATATAAAACATATATACATATATAAACAAAAACAGAAAAAAATGCTTTTTTCTTAGCTTTACCTTTATAAAACTAATTGACACTTTTCAAAGAACAATCGATTCACTTTTTTATGTCATGACAAAGTAAATGACTACTACAAACTAAGGAAATTACCTATTAAAGTAGAATTTTTAGATGATAAGCCATAACCTTTTAAAAATAAAAGATGATTTATTTTCCTGATATATAAACTGCATACAAATTTATTGATATGCATCTGTTTAACAAAACAAACTACACTCCGACAAAGTTCGGATAATAAACAAACGTTTGCAAAAAAATTTCAATTGAAGTTTTATTAAAACTGCAAATATACCCATCGTATAAAAATGTAATGACTTCTTGAAGTCCAATAAGAGTTCGCTTTTTTTTAAACATAAACTTTCAGGTTTTTATGCAAACTTTTTTATCGTTCTATAAAAGCCATTCTCCACCACTTAGAATTCTAACGCACTTCAGAAGCGCTTTTGTTTTATCTTACAAAAAGGAGTTTCACCTTTATATACAAATGTAACAAAGTAATTTAATTTGTCTTCTTTTGTAATACAAATCATTCAAACAAGTGCTTTTACAAAGAACACCATGATAAAATTGTTTAATTTATTTTTGCAAATACGTACTTTCATTTCAAGTTTGAAAACGTATGTAAAATATAATTGCGAATGTTTTTCAATAATTTGCGCTATAAATTAAGACGCAAATTGCATTAATAGATTTTACCGCAGTAAAACTAAACCCAAGTGAATAGTGGTCTCTCTAACGTCAGGAAAATAAAAGAATGAAATTGCGCCAATGTTTTTGACGTAACTAACCACGTTGTCGTTCATAAAATTGCGTCAATTGATTAATATTACATAATACAGTCATATGGCATAATTCCCTTCTTGCTTTATCATTATTTAGATAAGTTGAATAGATTTTTTTATAAAATTTAACAATATGCCAACTTTGCTAATCATTTATTCTTAAATTCTTGACTATTTTACATATCTATAGAAAAAAAGACATCTGGCTTGAATATGCGTCAAAAGGATCAAAAATCTTTAACTTAATAGTCAAAGAAACGCTTGTATAAAGTTTAAGTAAATAATTAAACAGTTGGACGCTTTGTTTAAAAGTTTATATATATATATATATATATAAATATATATATATATATATATATATATATATATATATATATATATATATATATATATATATATATATATATATATATATATATATATATATATATATATATATATATATATATATACATTTTTTGAGATAAACCGACAACTAAAATAAATTATTTTGTCGCTAAACAAGGGGACATTTTTTTTTATAAACTTTATGAAGTAAAGTTGCGGACCACACCGTGATTATTATTTATTTAAATCAAAATTTGTATATTGAAAATATTGTCTATTCTAATATCTGCTTCGTTTTGAAAATTTATACAAATATGTGACTAGTCGACAAAAAATGTTTGAATTATGACTTAAGTTCCACGCGTGGTTATTTAAAATAGACTAACCTTTTAACTAAAAGTTTTGTTGATACAAAATCAAATATTTATTTGTAGCTGAACAGTATCCATTTAAATTTAAAGCATTTTAAAAAGTATAATGAACCTTTTCAAAAAAGAATTTATCTTTTTCTTGTAAAATCTATTTAAAGTTCTTGTTCTAAAATTCGATTTCTAGAAATAAGTAGGCCTTAGAAAGACTATAATTTTACGGACCTTATATCGCGGAGACAATATTACAACTTCATATTTACTATTATACATAACCTAGAAATATTTTTTCATAAAAAAAAACAACGAGGAATACTTAGAATATTGTACGCTTTTTTCCGCACGTTAAATTTGGGTTGCTATACCAATTTTTTCAACTTTTTACAGACAGATATTTTATTTAGAATTTTTTCAAGAATTCATATTGCTTATATTTACTGTTCCGATAACAATTTACATGTTTCGCAAGATACATGATTTACAAAAAGTATATAATAGAGTATAAAAGTATATAAAATGTATATGATAATATTAATACGCTAACTTAATATTATTAGTCGAATTACGTCATTTTCTTGGCTTTTCTATTTTAAAGTAGTTTCTAGGCTTTTCTATACGCGGGTTTTTTTTTTAATTTTATTTACTTACAACGCGTATTACGGGTTGCTTACTGCTAGTATGTCTTATTATCCAATCTCTTTAAGTGCTTATTTTTTACAAGATGTTGCCTTGTAAAAAAATGGTTTATCCAGAAAGTCCTTTTGATTTTTAACTATTAAATTGAAAACAATTTTTTTTTTTGCTAAAAGGAATTTTAATCTCTAATATGATTGTTTTGTTCTATTATCAGTTGCCATCTTTTTGGTAACTGTCTGATTCATAAAACTTCTGATTTATTGAAGCAAAAGGTTCTCCAAAGTTTTAACCTGTTCGTCTAATGTAAATTTTTTTCTAGCGGAAGAGTTTTTTAATAAACAAAATAGATAGTAGCCTGATGGTGCACAATCAGGGCTGTAATCTGGGTGAGGTTGTATGTTGCAACCATTTTCCAATAACTTTAGACGAGTAATTAAAGAAATGTATATATATATATATATATATATATATATATATATATATATATATATATATATATATATATATATATATATATATATATATATATATATATATATATATATATATATATATATTTGTTTAACCATTTATTTTTAATTAATTTTTTTTAGAAAAGTTAAAAACAATAATAAGGCTGATCTAGTGTAAAAATTTGTTTTGTTTTACTTCGCTAGAAAATACTTTGCTATTAATTTTGTAAATTGAATTTAGATACCGATTAAAATAAAAAGTATGGCAACAAGAAGTAACAAAATAATAAATAAATCATAAACTAGTAAACAAATAAATTAATAAACTTCTTTAGAAATCTTTAAGTAATTGACGAATTTTGTCATACAAAGTTACATTAAATAAGATTGACTGCTCAGTAGTTGGAAAAGCAGTTCGTATATATGCATCAAAAAACTTGGATGATTGTATCATTTTTGCAAATAGTTTAGCGAAATTCAGGTATATTTCTTCAACAGAAAATAAAAAAGCTATTATGGGTTTGGAAAAAGATACAATAATGGAATAACATATAAATTACGTTTTTAATCAGGTTTTTGCAATTTATAAAACAATTACATATAACATTGAACTTACGCATTAGCATAGTACTCATTGCAATCGGTTTCGGAAATGCCATTGATTATGAAAATTCTTCGAGGTAATATACTTAAATATCCAAACCATTGTGAAATCAAGATTTAAGTAATTTAGAAATATTTCGGGAAATGAGTCTCATTGTTAAACAATTTAAAAATATAAAATATAGTCGGAACCAGTGACAGAAATAACTGAGACAAAACGGATTTACAAAAAAAGGACTGTAAGCTTTGCGTTGGGCGTCCAAGAGATATTAAATCTTCGTTTGTTTTAAATTACCAAGCGGACCATTTACTTGCAAATCAAATGTCAATAAATATATTTAAAAGAGAAAGATCTGTTAAATGTTAAAAGCGAATAATGAATGGGATGTTTACTTTAGTCATAATCAAAAAAAAGTGGATCATTGCAGTAAAGATCCACTTCATTTAAAATCATAATTGTTGATAAAAATATAAAATAACGCCGTCTTAGGCCTACAGAAGAATAAGCTAATAATTTAAAGTTTTTACCTAACTTAGAAAGTCCTCACAATTATCCACAATCACCTACGATGAAGAACTAAGTGGGAATGCACCGTGGAAGAAAAATTTAACTAGAAAGTTTACAACTTTCTTCCTTACCAATGTCGCTTATCTGGTCAGAGCCAACATCGAACCTCATTCTCACAATCTCTTCATTTTTTTTCTTTCAATACATTTTTTTGGTTTTAACCAAGGCCAATCTAAAATCGTTTCTTCTCGTTTCTATTTATTCATACATATATATATATATATATATATATATATATATATATATATATATATATATATATATATATATATATATATATATATATATATATAGTTTTTATTTTTTTTTTTAGTTTTTTTATTATACTTTTAGAGTTTCTAAGTTTTTTCGATTTTTAGTTTAAAATAGAAATGACTATATTTTATTAAAACTTTTAAAGGGGCTCTATGAAAAGATTGCGACGACGTTTCGTCATCTTTATCTTTTTTGAGCCCCTGTGTGTTTAATTCTTTATCTAATAATTATATTTTATATACAAAACGGTGTCTGGTGACAAGATGTACAATTATACTATGGATATTTATATATTTTTTTGTATATATAAGTTGATTGTATTTATTAAACAGCGAAATAAATGTAAATAAAAATATATATAGTTATATAAATTTGTAGAAATATATATATATATATATATATATATATATATATATATATATATATATATATATATATATATATATATATATATATATATAAATTAGTAAAAATACTTATCTTAAATTTCATTCGACATGCTGTTTCTCTTATTGTAAGTTCATCAGAAAGATGATGATGAACTTACAATAATGATACAGAAGTACTTCTGTAGGTTCATCATCATCTTCCTGATGAACTTACAGCAAGAAAAACACATAAAACATATATAAATAAAAACTTCAATCTCATAAAAAGAAGCAATAGCTGATATACAAGATGTTTAATAATATTATAAGTATATGTGTGGGTATATACTTAAGTATACACACATATACTTCTAATTTTATTAATAACTTCTTGTATATTAGACATTGCTTCTTTTTATGAAATTAAAGTTTGATTTATAAACTGTATTTTTGAATTTTTCAGATTTTACGAACTTTGACGATTTCCCGGATATATTGGAACAGTAGATGGAGCACATCCTGCAACAAGTTCTGAGGGAGAAAATGCAGAGTTGTATCGAAACGGAAATGGATGTTTTTCTTGGAACCGCCATATAATTAAAGGTCCTTCAAAAGAATTTTTGTCTGCTTGTATTCAATAGACTAGATGTATTCACAAGATTTTATTAATTCGGTCATTAAACAGGTTTTAGAAGCTCATTAGCATGTCCATGTTATAGGGGACAACGCCCCATATTATCACCAGAGGTGCGACAGAGGAATGTTGTTTTGGAATTTGTTTTCAATGCCCCTTTACAAATAAAACCAAAAAATTTTAGAAACATTATTGTATTTTGCTTTGCTTCACAACATTGTCCTTCTACAAAATGATCTTTTGGGATAAAATGTAGAATTATAATGAGGAAAATGGTTCCAAAGCATTTATAAGAGGTTTTGTAGGAAAAATTAAAATAGTAATTCGTTTTTTTTTATAAATAATTAATTTATCAAAGAATAAAAAAACATAGGTAATTAAAAATTATCAACAAAGAAAATCTTTTTCAGTGATAAAGTAAATGAAGAATCTGGAAAAAAAAAGTATTGTCTTGTGAAATAAAGATAAAATTCAAAAATTCATAAAGAAAGTTAAGTTTGTTTTGTATCAATAGTTGTATCCCAAAAATGTACTTATATATAATACAAGTAAATTTATGTTATAACCTTTAAGATTTTTATAA